ATGTATTTGAATGGGCTTGTATAGTTATTAGTTTAGTGTGTAATTAATTGGGCCAAGGTTTTGTTTATTCGGCCAACACCTACCCGTATATATACATACTTACGCATGAATACAAACAAGGCAATATCTTACCCTAATTGCTATTCTACTTCGTAATAGCCTCTCAACTCATCTCTTCTCCTTTCCAACTTTTCTGATTTCGACGCCCAAAAATCCCCCTCCCACATCCATCTACAGTTCCGGCCTATCCCTTTGCCATACAACCACATCATCCAACTAACGCCACCGCCTCGCACCACCTCAGCCTCACACGTCGCAACCACGCCGCCTCCAGCTCGCAGTGCCTCGGCCTCGCAACCCCGCCTTCTCATTCCTTCACATAGCAAGGCCACCTTGTGCCTCCGTCTCCGATATTTCTTCTCTCTTTCAAGGTAAATTATTTTTCTATTTATGATACATAATTACATGTTTTAATGTTAATTAATGCTTTTCGGTTTGAATTTCCACTGAGAAGGAATGTTTCTATTTTCTAGCCTGTTTGGTAAGGGTTAATTGAACAAATTGAATATGCTAACTCTCTCAAAAAATGATGGTAATTTATATGTCAGATCTATTTATATACACATATTGATGATAAATAGAATCGTTAATGGATTACTGAATGGAACCTTTAATCTCTTAATATTGATACTTTAATTGTTTTTTATAATTTCTTAATACTTAGCCTTATCCTTCGTTAGCTATATAATTAATTGAATGATGTATATATATTTCTAATATTCTGTTTTTCCCTCTCCTTTCTAGATTTTGACAATTCTGGTGATATTATATGGCCCATTAACTATGAGTTTAAAACATGTATGTAAGTAAACACAGGGAAATTATCCCTTTTGATTGTTTTTTCTGTTTGCTAATATTTTCAGCCTTAAATGTTCCTAATCATCCATCATAGGGTCAATTGGAATGCATATTTACTTCTGTATTCATTGAGCATTTTGCTCTGTCCAGGTGGCATGCGAGTAGACCTGTACAAAATCGGGCCGACCCGCCCGGCCCGCACAAATGGGCGGGCTTGGGCATATATACTTACCCACCGGGCCGGCCCGAGCCCGGCCCGCAATAACATATGGGCGGGCTTGGGTTAGGGTGTAAGCCCGTTCGGGCCGATAAGCCCGGCCCGCTACATTTAGTGTGTGTGTGTGTGTGTATATATACACACACACACACACTAATTTATTTATTTATTTACATGTACACATGTATATTTATATTTACTAATATAATTTACCTTTATACATATTTATAGTTTATTATATGTAAATTTAAGTTTTTAGTTCTTAACAACTAGCCCAACTAATATGGTATCTATTTTTGTACTTAAAGATAATACTTTTTGCTTGGAATTTAAATTTTAGATATAGTTTCTCATTATTATTTTTATGTAAGTATTATTTTTGTATGTGGCGAAAGGCCTATAAATATTATAAGCGTATTAACAAATTTTTAAAGGAAAAATTGAAAATAATAATCCCAACTTTTGCCGGTCCGCTAACAATAATCCCAACTATTGATTATTTTTGTATAATCCCAACTATATGGACCGTCCACCAATAATGGTCCATGACCAAATAAAAAGTGAATTTCAAATAGAAATTAAGTGTAAAAATTAAAAGTTGAGATTATTTATAGGGATTGCGTGCTATATCTCTTCTCAACCCCTTTAGAAACTATAGGAATTTATTTATAGTCGCTCACATTGGACCATTATTGGCGGAAGGTCCCTAAAGTTGGGATTATTCTGAAATAATCGATAGTTGGGATTATTGTGAGCGGACCGCCAATAGTTGGGATTATTGCTATCAATTTTCCCTTTTTTAAATGTTGTCATATTATTTTTAAAGTATTAAAAAATTATATAATTTAGAAAAATTTAAACTTTTCCGGGCCGGGAGGCCCGGTGGACTACCCGGCCCGCTCTTACGGGCGGGTATGGACATGGAGTTAGGCCCATTTTTGCGGGCCGGCCCCGCCCACATATGATGGGCAAAAAATATATAAAAAGCCCGGCCTGAGCCCGGCCCGAACCCGTTTTTGTGCAGGTCTACATGCGAGAGTTTGGGTCCATTGAAATGTATAGTAGCGCTATAGTTGGGATCGATACAAAGATTTGTCTTTTCTAATAGGACAGTTAGGGTTTTAGTTATATCAAATCTGTTACATTTATGATGAAGTCATATTGTATCATTGTATGTGATCTTTTGTGCAATGAACTAAAACTTAAGATTAATATGGAAATAAGTGATTTATGCAGAGCAGAAGGTGACGGCCAACAATGCACTATGATTCAAGGGTTCAAACCGTGTGTCGTAATGTTATGGAATTACCGAGGGAAAAAATAAATGACTTTTATTCTCAGGTACTCATTGAAACAAATTTCCAAGTGTTTTGTGGTTAGCTCTGTTTTTAGGTTGTATTATTGTGCTATTCAAACTAGGGTACTTTTTGTTTTTCATTTCTGCTTTCTTTTGGATCTGTTGTGCTTTAGTGTTCCAAGTGAGCGATCAGTAAGCTTACATTGTCTAAGATAGTTGTAATGATAATGAAAAATATCTTAAAGATGACATTTTTGGGACTCGAGATGAGGCTGCAGGTTCATTTTGTGTAGGTTGTCTTTAGATTCAATAAGTCACTGTGTAAATCATATTTTACTAATTCTGGATCGAAACATGGACTATTCTTTTTGGGTCTATAGCCATCTATGACCAATGTCTCAAGGTTCGGAGAATATTCAAGCAAGCATATGATACCATAGATTTCTAGATCATTTCATGAGATGTTTGCATCCAAACACCGTCAGGTAGAATGTGAAAGCTCCCAGCTATTCAGTGATATCATTGATATAACTGGCATGCAATCACGTCCAAGGTTGAGATTGTTAACATGCTGAAGGTTGTCTAAAAAATCTTTGGTATTACTCATTATTTCCAAAGAGCTTGGATCCCAATCAGATCCAACAAGATTAATAGTAGCTTTAACTACGGAAGAGATGTTTGTGATCCACCATTTTCTTCCTAGGCGATATGGGGTAAGAAGTAATGTTTGTGCCAGGGGTGCTGAAATTTCGAGCAGGGAATCCTTAATTCCATCTTCGGAGTCTCCTATCCCCAGCAAGCTGAAATTTTGAATGTTGGCCTCAAAACGATTGGATCCCCAACATGATCTTAGATGACAGTTGTAAAAAAGAGGAAAACCTGATATAATCTTGTCGAGTACATCATGTGGCAACTCTATGTCCTCAATGTACAATCTACCCAAAGAAGGCCAATCAACTACGGTTAGAGGAGCCACGATGCATCTTCTCAACCACAAGTATTTCACAAATGGATAATCAAAGATCAAATTTGGCAGCTTGTATAAATCTTTGGAAGGGGAGGGATTTAGACGCAAAATATTCGAACACATCAGATTTGAGAGCATAAACAACCCAAACAAAAAGATTTGTAGGAAAACATTCGTAGTAGGTGAGCTCGACTTCAAAATTCACAACATATTGTGCGTCAAAAACAACAATGATCCTATTGGTCCCTGCTGCAAATTTGTGAATCTTCTCTTTTGCTTCTTTGGTGCATATGAAACTGGGTAGACGACGTTGAGCCCAATATGACTTTGTTCGAGGTAGTACCTTTATAAGTTCATCAAATGAATTGAATTTCTTATCTATATTTTATAAAAATTTTTGGATGAAAGGTAAATATATTAAAAATCACCCCAAATATATTTTATAAGTACGGTATATGGTTCATTTGTATTTTGGTTACTTTTGCTCATAATTTACATATACTGATTTAATGATTGATTCGTAGTCAGGGATTTAAATGATTCATATTAAAATTTCTCACTTCACAATTCCCTTTTAAATGTACATAAATGTGGTTTAAATTTTAAATGTTTAGCAAAGTTTAATTTTTATTTATAATTAAGTTTTATTGAACATTAGTCTTTACATTCTAGCTTCTTAGTATTACTATTGGCTCATAATTAGAATTGAAGGATGAAGTCAGGACAATCAATGTGAATTTTTTTACGATCATACTTACCTGTTAGGTAAAATCTAAATGACAAAGTAAAATTTGGAAAATCTTTAAATAGTTTAGAGCTATATCTTGTCATTATAGTAAGCAATAAATATAAAAATGATAGTTACATGCTTATAATAAAGTTACAATATCATTATTAATTTATTCCGTAATTATTTACATGTTGATGCTATAAATCATTCAAAGTGAGCATGTACTAATTGGAATTGTTGAATATTTCAGTTTCACAAAAGCACTTTGAATGTGGAACACTTTAATATTCCACAACTGTCATTAGTACATGCTCACTTAGCTTTGAATGATTTATACCATCAGAAGTAAATAATTACGGAATAAACTAATAATGATATAGTAACTTTATTAGAAATAATTACATAAATATGACCAAAATAAAGATGGTTTAAAAAAATATGACTAGTTACTAGAGTAGTAATGAAATCATAGTAATTCATGTTCAAGTTTTGAACTTAAGTTACCACAACATAAAGTTATAGCAATGAATAGTCACATTTATGTAAATAAGTTTTATTTTAGTAATATTCTTGTAAAAACCCCTTATTATTATAAGCATGTAACTGTCATTTTTATATTTATTGCTTACTATAATTGTATAATGACAACATATAGCTCTGAAGTATTTAAAGATTTTCCAAATTTTACTTTCTCATTTAGATTTTACCTAACAGGAAAGTATGATGGTAAAAAAAATCACATTGATTGTCCGGATTTCATCCTTCAATTATAATTATTATGACCCAATAGTAATACTAAGATGCTAGAATGTAAAGACTAATGTTCAATCAAACTTAATTAAAAATTAAACTTTGCTAAACATTTAAAATTTAAACCACATTTATGTACATTTAAAAGGGAATTGTGAGTTGAGAAATTTTAATATTAATCAATTAAATCCCTGACTACGAATCAATCATTAAATCAGTATATGTAAATTATGAGCAAAAGTAACCAAAATACAAATGAACCATATACGGTACTTATAAAATATATTTGGGTGATTTTTAATGTATTTGCCTTTCATCCAAAAAAACTTATAAAATATAGATAAGAAATTCAATTCATTTGATGAACTTATAAAGGTACTACCCCGAACAAAGTCGTACTGGGCTCAACGTCGTCTACCCGGTTTCATATGCAACAAAGAAGCAAAAGAGAAGATTTGCAAATTTGAAGCAGGGATCTATAGGATCATTGTTGTTTTTAACGCATATGTTGTGAACTTTGAAGTCAAGCTAACCTACTACGAATGTTTTGCTGCAGATCTTTTTGTTGAGTTGTTTATGCTCTCAAATCTGATGTGTTTGAATTTAGTTTGCTGCTAAATCCCCCCCCCCCTCCAAAGATATATACAAGCTACCAAATTTGATATTTGATTATCCATTCCTGAAAGACTTGTGGTTGAGATGATGCATCATGGCTCCTTTAACTGTAGTTGATTGGCCTTCTTTGGGTAGATTGTACCTTGAGGACATAGAGTTGCCACAGGACATACTCGACAAGATTATAGCAGGTTGTCCTCTTTTGTAAAATTGTCCTTTAAGATCATGTTGTGGATTGAGTCGTTTCGAGGCCAACATTCAAAATTTCACCTTGTTGGGGATATGAGACTCTCAAGATGGAAATAAGGATCCCCTGCTCGAAATTTCGGCACCCCTAGCACGAACTTTACTTCTTACCCCGTATCTCCTAGGAAGAAAATGGGGGATCACAAACATCTCTTCCGTAGTTAAAACTACTATTAATCTTGTTGGATCTAATTGGGATTCAAGTTCTTCGGAAATAATGAGTAATATCAAAGAATTTTTAGACAACCTTCGGCATGTTAACAAGCTCAACCCGGGACGTGATTGCATGCGGGTTATATCTATGATTGCACTGAATAGCTGGGAGCTTTCACATTCTACCCGACGGTGTTTGGAAGCAAACATCTCATGCAATGATCTGGACATCTATGGTATCATATGCCTGCTTTAATATTCTCCGAACCTTGAGACATTGGTCATAGATGGCTATAGACCCAAAAAGAATAGGCCTTGTTTCGATCCAGAATTAGTAAAATATGATATACACAGTGACTTATTGAATCTAAAGACAACCTACACAAAATGAACCTGCAGCCTCATCTCGAGTCCCAAAAATGTCATCTTTAAGATATTTTTCATTATCATTACAACTATCTTAGACAATGTAAGCTTATTGATTGCTCACTTGGAACACGAAAGCACAACAGATCCAAAAGAAAGCAGAAATGAAAAACAAAAAGTACTCTAGTTTTAACAGCACGGTAAAACAACCTAAAAATAGAGCTAACCACAAAACACTTGGAAATTTGTTTCAATGAGTACCCGAGGAGAAAGATCATTAATTGTTTCCCGCGGTAATTCCATAACATTGCGACAAACGGTTTGAACCCTTCAATCACAGTGCATTGTTGGAACCGTCACCTTCTACACTGCATAAATCACTGATTTTCATATTAATCTTAAGTTTTAGTTCATTCCACAAAAGATCATATAAATGTAACGGATTTGATATAACTAAAAACCTAACTGTCCAATTAGAATAGACAAACCTTTGTATTGATTCAACTATAGCACCATTGCATTTCAAAGGACCAAACTCCGGCATGCCACCTGGACAGAGCAAAACGCCCAATGAATACAGAAGCAAATGCATTCCAATTGACCCTATGATGGATGATTAGGAACATTCAAGGCTGAAAAAATTAGCAAACAGAAAAAACAATCAAAAGGGATAATTCCCTTGTGTTTACTTACATGTTTTAAACTTATAGTTGATGGGCCATATATTATCACCAGAACAGTCAAAATCTAGAAAGGAGAGGGAAAAACAGAATATTAAAAATATATATACATCATTCAATTAATTAAACAACTAAGGAAGGATAAGGCTAGGTATTGAAAAATTTATAAAAACGATGAATGTAACAAAATTAAGAGATTAAAGGTTCCATTCAGTAATCCATTAATGATTCTATTTATCAACAAGATGTGCATACAAATAGATCTGACATATAAATTATCAACATTTTTTTCTACAAAGTTAGCATATTCAATTTGTTCAATTAACCCTTACCAAACAGACTAGAAAATAGCAACATTCCTTCTCAGCGGAAATTCAAATTGGAAAAGCTTTAATTAACATTAAAAACATGTAATTATGTATCATAAATAAAAAACAATTTACCTTGAAAGAGAGAAGATGTATCGGAGACGGAGGCACAAGATGGCCTTGCTATGTGAAGGAATGAGATGGCGGGTTTGCGAGGCAGAGGCAGTGCAAGCTGGAGGCGGCGTGGTTGTGACATGTGAGTCTGTGACAGTGTGAGCTGAGGGCACCAACTGGTGGCAAGATTGCTAGGGCAAGAAGGCTTTGTGAACCTAAGGTGCGAGATGGTGGGGATTGGAGGCTGAGGTGGTGCAAGGCGGTGGCATTAGTTGGCTTATGCGGTTCCCTCTCACCCGCATCAATTGAGAATATTTTTAGACCTTGTGCTTCGATTGTTCAATGCCCGCATCAATGTACTGTCAAAATTTTGATCTTTTGGTGCGTATCCTTCGTAACCGCGACAATTATATGGAAATGTTTGCTTTATTGCTTTGGTTCAAAACTACTCTCCTGCAAGCACGTTTAACTTGGAGTTCTTAGGTGATGAACTCCCTTAAAAGAAGGTGCACTTTATTGGTATGAGTAGTACTATTAATCCGTTTAAATTAAATCTCAAGTATTACATGTAAAGACTACTATCCCGTATTTGTTAAATCGTTATTGATCGAGGAAATCCGTTTTTAGTCGAGGAGAATTTTATGTTATTGTGCCATGAGTAACCAATAGGAAGGGAGTTAATTGTTTTTGGGCAATGCATTTAATTACTCCGTATCACCGTATGTTTCAAATGTAATCCATGAATACAAGTTGCTTTATACTCTATAATAATAAAATAATCCCTTAGTATGTAATTTTGGTTTTACTGGGGTATTACTATCACCTAAAAAGACACTCGGTATGTGGTATATTTCGAGTTCTTAATTTCTTGATCAACATTTTTTTATAGAAATAATGAGTATTAACTGTGCAGCGTACGGCCAACTCTCTAGTAATATATGGTTTAGTTGTAATACAGACATTTTATATTATAATAAGAGTTGAATTGAAATGAAAAAAGGATTCAAATATTACTTATGTCTTTGTGAAAAAATGAGTATTTTTCTCTTTCTCCGAAAATATGGCTTACCCTTTAAATTCAATATTTCTTATCCTAATCCAGTGGCGGATCCAGGATCAAAACTTATTGGGGGCAGCGGGCAAGGTAAATAAAAAAAGCATCAGAAGAAATACTAAAAAAGTATTAATGTAACAATATTACACATTGTTCTAAAAACCGGCCTAGTCGGACCGATTAATCGTCGACCTAGTTGGTCATAACCGTAGAGGACTAATCGACCTGGTCGGTCAAAAAATCGGCCTAGTCAACCAAAAAATTTGCCTAGTTGACTGCCTAGACGCTAGACGCCCCGCCTGACTAGCGTCTAGCGAGTTTTAGGGGGTGTTTGAAAGTGATTCTACTTCTTTTATAAATCAGAAGCAGAATCAGAATCAGTTTTCAGAAGTTGGTACCTCCCAGCTTCTAAAAAAATTGATTCTGGGAGTCAATTAGAGCATCAGAAGTGCTTCTGGAATTTCAGCCAAACACTCCAGCTTCTGCTTATGCTCTCTGAAGAAGCAGAATCGGTTTTGAGAATCAGATCCAAACACCCCCTTAGAACAATGATATTACAATAACAAAAGTTTTAACGAAATACATCACAACACAACTGTTTGCGCGAGTTTTCATCTTTTGACATGATTCATTACAATTTCATTTATAACAATTTCAAACACATCATTTTTAATAAAACAAATTAGATAACCACTCAAAAACTTATCATCAATTCTATTACTAAATTAGTCTTCACTATTTTAGGAAAACATTGACAACATTGAGAAGCACTATTTGAAACATTACAATTTCAACTATCAAGTATTCAATATTGGTAAAAGAATGGTAGCCCAATACCTCATCAAAGAGACCGGAAAATAAGTAAAATTAAAATTAATTTTTTAATACTCTAATACATTTTATTTAACTACCTAAAGTATGTAACTATTATTTGCATTTAGGATTTGTAACTTACTAAATGACATTTTCTATTTTCTAATAGTGTAAAACACTACACTAATAGATGTCCAACTCTTTGAGTAAGTCATCGATCAAATTAAATCTAAATGATCTTCTAAAAGAATATATAATTGATCGATGAAAATAACTAATCCCATAATAAATTAATAATATTATAATAAGTTTAATAACATTATTTAATATTTATATAAAAATTACTCCGTAATAATTAAAGTATGACCTTAAACAAGTATTAAACAATACAATGAATGCATACAAAACTAGGATTAACAACTAAAATAGACAACGAATACAAAAAAAACTCCAAGTGTAACATTTAATTGATTTACTCCATATTAATTAATCAATTAATAGAAGATGTGATAATAATAATAGTAATAATAATAATAATAATAATAATAATAATAATAATAATAATAATAATAATAATAATAATAATAATAATAATAATGAAATGAAAAGGTTTAAAGCCATTAGAGCCAATAAAGTGAAAAGGTTAAACACTACCTCTTGGAGAGTTAGAGTACGTCGTCTTGCCGAATGGCCATTTAGGACTGGGTTTTTTGGAGATTTGGCCATTTCTTAAATTTTGCATCGGTGGATAGAAGGTTCGTGAATTATAGGGGCAGTCCATTTTTCTTATTGGGGGCAAACGGTTGTACTTCTAAAATTCATTAACAAAACTACAAGATTAGTGAGACCTTATTGGGGGCAGCTGCCCCCCTATTGGCTTACTAAATCCGCCCCTGTCCTAATCTATATCCAATTTCGGCCTTAACCCCAACCGGAAACAGCTGTCAGAAAGGTTAGATGATTTCCTCCCATTTTAGATATAGATTTTTCTAATAATCATTGCACATTCCTTAATTAGTGACATGAAATCTGGCATGACATTGTTAGTGACCTCAAAATGTGATAGTCATATTATGTTTTTACAATTATATTACCTTGTCGACATTTTCTTCACATTGAAAAGTAATCAACTTTTTAAAAATGAATTTCAATTTATTCATATATATTTAAGAAAAAATCCCATTTAAAATTTAATATTTGAATAAAAATGTTCACATTATTACCTAATTGCACATGTACAATATCTAAAGTGGGTCGAGGGCTTGAGGCAGGCAATAATCCAGAAAAAATTAAGATAATCACTCATGATCATCTTATAGTTAATGGATGGACTCCCAAAGCATTCATTAGTTGAAGTAAATATAGACAACTAAAATGGTTTTTCTTTGTCATTACCTTCTAAGCACGAGTATTAAACTCTGTACCCGACAGCCTCCAAAGCGACCAACAACGGGAGTATCGGGCCGCGAATTCTGACCAAACAACGATAATGGTGAATCTCTCATGTGAGGTTAGTTGGATTGAATATTTGGTCTAGGAGACTGAATTTTGAATATTTTTACTCTTTTTCATATCATTTCTCTCTCGAAGAGAGTAACAAGAAAAAGTGAAAACCCATAGTTACGTGGTAATAAATAAATAAATAAATAAATAAATAAATAAATAAATAAATAAATAAATAAATAAAGAGTCTATGGGAAGATGAGCCGTGACGGTTTGACTATGTGTAGATAAGATTCCTCTAATCTTCTTTACAATTGTTAAAAAGTGAAATTGTAAGTGACGACGACACAACCAACCAACTCAATAGTGATATATTTTAGGCAGATTCTATGGTATCCATAAGGTATCATACCTTTGTCCACATGGACCAATCAGAATGATGCAGTTGAATATTTAAATCTAAATTAAAGAGGATATAATGATTTGGACCAATCAAATGCATGGTAGGTACGATACCTCATTTTTTAAATGAGTACCGGAGTTGTCACCTAGATTTTATACACATACATACCAGAAGTTTAGCCCTGTACATAGAAACTGTAACATCTACATGACCGTCGTAGATTCCGATATTTGATCAATCCTTCAATTTCCTCATCACTTGACCAACTGAGCTGCTGTGCGAGTAAGGGGGGTGTTTGGATCTGATTCTCAAAACGGATTCTGCTCCTTCAGGAAGCAGAAGCAGAAGCTGGAATGTTTGAGTGAAATTCCAGAAGCACTTCTGGTGCTCTAATTTACTCCGAGAATCAGTTTTAGAAGCTGAGAGGTACCAGCTTCTGAAAACTGATTCTGATTCTGCTTCAAAAAAGAAACAGAAGCAGAACCAGTTCCAAACACCCTAAGACTCTCATCCTCTTCGTAGTCTTTGAGAGTTTGATAATTTCAATTTATTATGTATAATTTCAATATCATCCTTGCTTCTTAGAATTGAATTGTTCTTTGTTCATATTTTATTTATGGTTCACAATGTTGACTGAGCATAAAATTTACGTATTATTTTCAGATAACTTTTAAGTTGAAGCTAGTAATAAAATATTATACTGCATCTTTTCATCGGTAGTTGGTGATATTTCAGGGAGATTAAGAAAAATAGTACTGTAGAACATAATAATTAGGGTTAAAAAAGTATGATAGAAAAACAGAAAAAGTATTTAAAAAAAAAAGTAAGAACGAGCTACTACAAAAAATAAAAAAGTACTCTGTAGGAAATTAAATACGAGTATGTAAAAGTAAAGTAAAAGTTGCGGAAATGCCGAAATGATTATAATGCAAATATTTTCAAAAAGGAGTATGAGTCAACTATTGAAGTATCTACCTCTATATAAAAAGAGGTGGAAAAGAAGGTGATTTTCCCGCCCAAAGTTCCGGGTCATAAAACGGGTCGGGTTCAATGAAGTGCAGTGCTGGTGTACATTAGGGAGTGAATCGTGATTGGATTAATTTCACATGAGTGGTCAATTACAAATGCCAAGAAAGTAATAGACATTGGGTACCGTAAATGATTAATCCGAGGAGCACAACATGGTAATTTAAAATACAACTTACCCTTCAGGCCAAAAATCTCATTACTTTAGATATGCTCGATTTTCTTTCCCAAAATGCTAAAGAATCATTAATGCAATGCACTTCCCAAAGCTCTGAAACGTGTCTGAAAAATAATAAACACGGAGTAAGTTAAAAAATACTATGTACGTAGTATGATATATTGCCTAATCTCAACCGTGTGGTCTAATCAACATTGTTGGTCCATGCTATGGGTCAAATATTGGCTAAAATCAGGTCAATAGGTAATCGTGCATCAGCAGCTTCACTTAAAAGCACACCTTTGCCCGTTGGAAATCAATGGGTTCTCTGCTCAGTGTCTTAAATGTTAAAGTTGGCTTGGACTCTTCCACATTTGAATCATCGGTTAAAGCAAAAAATGAAGTCTTTACAGCCTATTATTGGGATTTGCGAATACATCATGCAAATATTGGGTTTGCCTCTTGCTCCATAGTGCTATATAAAGTATGCCAACTAGGTTCGTGGATGTTATTATTACAACAACCTGAGAATTACAACAGCCTGAGAATGAGAAGAAGAAGTACACAACTTGAGAATGGAGAAGTACATAAGTAAGGTAATAATTATTCAAAATTTATCTGAATGATGGATGTTATTTTACTACTCCGTATTTCATATATGAAGGAATACTTTGTTTATAGAATTTCTAAGTAGAAAAATGATGTTTTGGATTTGAACTGTTCTTTTCTATAAGTTCAAATTCAGAAGTTGAACGAAAATTGTGTCTATTTCTTTTCCTTTCATATGAAGATCGAAAACATATGAAGATCACATGAAGGTCCTGATGCAAGGGAAATAAAAGCGGCCTGGTCTTGGTAAAATGAACACGGTAAATTGATCACATTGTTTAGCGCACCGGACTACCCACAGTTACAGGCCACAGAAGATAAGTACATAAATGAAAGAGCATATATCATTTTTGAAAACCTTCTAATTTTGACACTCCAGTTTTTCTGTAGTTTTGACGCAGTCACTCCTAGGCCAAAGGCAAATCCATTCTTTGAATATCGAGTGTTATGACTTATGAGTGAATGAAGAAAGAGACAAATGGCAGGCAGAAGCTTGGTTGCAGCAAAGGCATAGCAACTATAGTTCCATTTGGTTGCAGCAAGGTCGGGCAGAAGCTTGGTAGCAGTAGTGTTTAAACTTAAGGTCGGTGTGTTTATGATCTAAACTTAATGCCTTCAGGCTTTTAATCCTATCATTGAGGTTTTTGTGTTTTTACCATAACAAGCTTTGTTAGTGGTTTTTGTGTTTGGGAATATTGTTATTGTGAGAGAGTTTGCTGCAAATACCTAATAACTTACAGAAAACTTCATCTGTTAGAAACCCACCTTGACAAAGCACTGATTGACATCTGTGGATGAATGACCTCTTCTAAACCGGAAAACTTCTATTGTATGAATGGAATAACTTCATCCAAATCCATTCAGTCAGGGTTTTCTTAGAGTATATAGTGATAAGAGTTAACTGAGAGGTAGAATAGAGGATGAAATGGGTTCCTTAAAAAGATAAAGCAGACAATGGACGGACGGAGAAATATGGATGTCCAATTTTCAGTTTATGGCACCGCCACACCGATATGCTCGAGCTCGACACTATTGCTATCTATCTTTTTTTTTTTAAATTAAAAATTGGAACGGTTGAACGGTTCAAAATGCTCAAATTATATTATTTGTAAAGGTTCATATTAAGCAGTTGGAATCCATTCCATTTTATGTAGATAACTCTTGAAATGGTAGAATTAATTTTTGATTTTTTTTTAGTTTGTGCCTAAATAGTTAAATTCATTTAATCTGTTTAGTTATAAATACAGAGTATTAGATAAGAGACTGTCCCAACATCAAAAACAGTATCCAAGTCTAAAATAAAGATTATTATATTTTTATTATGTAAATAAAAGCCATTATTATTGTACATGAAAAATAATGTCATAAAATAATTTGATGTTATCAAAGTGTTAAAGTGAAATTTCAGCATTGCAGTACTTTTGTTCATTTTATTTTTATTGTTTGTTCTTATTTTATCAATTAAGATTAGATATAAAAAAAATTAAACTAAATCAGACTAGGAAGATTCCGATTAGAACATCTCATGTTTAAAAGACCCGAAAAATTAAGATAAGATCAAATAAAAAGGGAAATTATCCAAAATATGACTAAAACGTTTTCAAAGAGTTAACAAAGCTCGGAATAGTGTATCGATGAAAAGAGGGTAAATGAAGGTTTTCAAAGATCATACGTTAAACTGATAAGTGCGTGTCTGCTCAAGTAGTATACAGATATCTCAATGGTCATTTGTATTTTCATATTAAAGTATACGATTTAATAAATTTAGGTGACAAAGAACAAGATTGAATCGCCAATCAACAATCTAACAATGTGGGAGGCATCGGTGGTACCACTACGTACACAGCCGGTGTTCAACATACATCTTACACGATGCATGAGGCATAGTAAGCAATGAAGAAGCGAACTAAGAGTTAACATAGCTCGGAGTAGTGTATCGATGAAAAGGGAGTAAATGAAGGTTTTCAAAGACCGTCCGTTTAACTGATGAGTGTCTACTAAATTAGTGTACAGATAAATGAAAAATAGATTGTTAAGCTTTCAAAAAATTATTTAGTAATGAGAATGATAAACAAATTTATCAGACTACTAAATGTTGTTTATAAAAAATTCGTTTGCTCGCTCATTGTAATATTTATGTTTTTGCTTATTTTCAAAAATGTGTATAACACTAACTCACTCTCTTTCTAATTAACCTTTTTTTTATGTATATTACCATTATTCTCTTTTCAATCATTTTAAAAATATAACTTTATGAAACTTTGATGTTATTATTAATGTAAACAAACAATATGATATCATTTTACTAAATTTTGTTCCGTGCATCGCACGGGTGAAAATCTAGTATTGATGAATGTAAAGACTAAAGAGTTACCAGGCATGTGAGAAAATTGCTCATATAGGACTAAAACATATTGAAAGTGCATTTATATGAGTATCATTGCTTTCTTTCTAAAAAGTGATTCATTACTCCCAATTGAGAATATTTTATACTTTTAATAGGATTAAATATGTCATATTTCAAGAATAAAATACATGTAGGCAGCGGCATAGCTAGGAGGGGCCAACAATGACCCTTACCAACCTAAATCTAAAATATGTCAGTATTTTTAGTGTAAAAAGTTTTGTGTAGAATTTTTCTAAAAATATTCTTTGCGCTGGCCCAGTACCCTGGCTCCGCCCATGCATGTAGGTGTACTTACGCATTTTGTCTACGTTTTACTTCTATTTAGAATAATTTCTAGAATAAGAAATTCTTGCATCCCCGTTGTAGAGTGTACGAGCGCACTTTAGGATTCGTTTGATTCAAGATATGTGAGATTATCATGAAAATCTTACATTTCTAGTTAGGTCAAATTGATATGAATTTAATCAATTTATTCTAATTTGTGTTTAGTTAAGATTAAGTGAACATGACATTAATTTGTTTGAATGATATGTTGTATTATAGATTTGGTGAATTACTTAAATGCCCTTTAAATCATTTCTCATTACACAAAAAGTTTATTATTGCCTAAATTTAAAGTAAAAACTAATTGAATAAAAACTACTTTTTTAATAATAAAAAAAATAATTGAATTATTATATTTTTAAGCAAATAATATGTTTAATTGTGAAAATTTGTAGAACAAATACATAAAAGTAATACTTTTATTCAGATATTATTCTAAATATCTACCATTTCAAAAAAAAAATCTTGTCATTTAAAAAAAAATCAATTTTAAAAACGCTTAAGTTATACGTAAAAATTGTTTTCAAGTTTAAAAAATGATTAATTTCTCCATTAAATTTTGAAATCCACTCACCAAAAACTTAAATAAGCTATAACTCCTAAAACGTAAATACTTTAATTTTCAAAATTTAAATGTTAAGGGAAAAAGAATTATGAAAATAGCAAGAGTA